CTGGTGGTGAATTCTTCAGCCTGCATTTCAGTTATGTCCCTTCCACTCTGCCAGCATAGTTTTCATTCTTGCAGGACAGTTAATCATGCACCATGATGGGCTAGTGGTCTATGCTCTTATCTTGACGCAAGCCCACTGCTTCTCCCCCACCTACCCGTCATTCAGCACTGGATTCCACCCTAGGATAGGCTGCACTTCCAATTTTTTCTCCTCAAGTCTAGAAAGCACCCATGGGTCCCTTAATCCCCATTCCTCCTCTTTAACCAGCATTTCGTCAGATTTACAATCACTTCTGAATTCCTTTTAAGGCTATCTGATGATGTCTAGCCCCTTTTAGGGAACAGGATATCCAAGGGAAGTGAGAGTACACTCTGAGATTTCTCTGCCCTGACTGCTTCTATTTTGTTGTGGCTGCCTAAGGTTGACTCAGAAATGCAGGAGTGGGGCACAGCCTCCTCTAAGAGAACCAAGACTGCCTTCAGTTTCCCTGCCCAGTACTCCTCCTGCTTGAATTTACTATAAGAGAGAGTAAGGACACTTTGTATCAGCCCTTGCATCCCTTACCTCTGTTACCTTCTTTCTAAGATCCACAGTGCAGGAGGGGCAGATTTTCCATGTTGCTTTGTCTCTTTGTGGGGACGGAGGAATACACTTCAGTCTACCCTTTCACTATACCATAGAGTTGCCAGGGGTAAGCGGAATGATTTTGTGGTATACAAATGCAAAGTATGCTGCTTTGCTCCTTTAAAAACACTCTCATGGTTGCATTAGATATAGAAACTTTTCTTTGATAAGTATTTTTACAGAATGCCATCTGATTAAAGAAAATGTCAAGTAAATGGATAATGCAAACTGTGAAGATAGGTCAAGGGTTGAACTTTGAGAAGCACCGAGGCGTGTGTGAAGCTGAGATGGACACACATGAAAAGACATAGGTGTACTCTGAAGGGGAAGGACAGTCAGGGTCACAGCTATTTAGAAAATGAGAGAAGTTGGAAAAGCAAAGTACCAAGGTGCTTGGGGGAACTGGGAAAGGTTCTTGGAATTGGCAGTTGAATTGGCATTACAGGATAAGGAGTGGAGAAGAAAAACATCCAAAATGCTAGAGGAGGTAGCAATAGCATACTCACTGTAAAGCCACTTTTAAAAACCATTGAATGAATAACAGTATAGAGAGTTAATCTTTCTGATTGGATGGAGGGACAGAGTTCTGAGCCACAGAGAATCTTTTTGGTGGCAGCCAGCAAAGGAAGACTGGTAAAGAAATGCGTAGATCGCTGTCTTAGTCACCTTTGTACCTCTCAGACAAAATACCTGACACCTACAATTTAAAGGAGAGGTTTGCTTTGACTCACAGTTTGAGCAGTTTCAATCCTAGGCTGGCTGGCTCCACGGGAGGAAAGGGATAGTAGAGGAAAGCTGCCCACCTCATTGTGAGAGAGGAGAGAGAAAGGAGGAGCTGGGGAGAGAGATAAACCTCTTTAAGTCATGTCCTCAATGACCCATCTCTAACCAGCCCCTAATCTCTTAATAGCACACTTAGCCGCTAAACTCATTAGAGGAATCTGCTGATGGGTTTAGTGCCCCCACGATGCAATCACCTTCCAAAAGCCCTGACTCTGGGCACTTGGGGGGGGGGGCTATTCTAGATTTAACCATAACAGTTGCCAAAGGAGGATATAGACAGACAAACAGGCAGATCGCCCTTGTATTGTCTTCATCTTGGCCAGCCCAGATACTATTCTGAGTTAGCAAAATTTGTGCTTTTAGAATCAGTCACTTGTCCTGTCAGCAATCATCTCTCTCTTCTCAGAATCCTCTCTGTCTTTTCACTCCTATGGATTTTTCTGGCATCATAGGCAGCTCTGGAAACCTCACTCAAATTCTGGCCTCTGAAATTAATAATCCTTAAGTGCCTGTACAGTTCTCATCAAAAGAAGAATTTATTCAATGACACTGTTGGTTCTGAGGCAGAGGCAAGGTGGAACTCAGGTGTCTGTTAAAGGTCTCATGGCTGTGAGTAAGAGCATCTGGCTCTTAGGGCTGCTGTAACAGGAAGGGACCATTGAAAAGGTGTATAAAAAAAAGTTGTATTCTTCACAGCTTAAAAATCCAGTATGTTGGTTGATCTTAGCCTATAAGGTGAAGAGTCTAATCTAGCAATTACTATTGGTCAACTACTGAATGGCCAGGACACAAGCGGTGTGCTTTGATGTCTAAAAAGCTATAATTGGAGTCAGTACATTTTGTGCATGTATTGAAATATCCCACTGAATTCCACTAATATGTACAATATGTATACTTCACATATTATAAAAATAAAATATTAAAAAGCTGAAAGTCTTTGAATCCTCTCAACAACAAATATGTCTATAAATATTTATTGAGCGATTTATAGTCTTAATGTTAAAGCTAAACAAGGTAGACTGGCAGGCGGGCTAGAAACACTTTAGAAATTTCCACCCATCCCTCATTCACTTCCAGAGATTTACATTAAGGCAGACAGTTTGAACAACTAGATGTGTAATATAAACAGTCATTTTTTCCTTGCCATGGTCCATAGTTCTTAACTATCACTGTTCATAGGATCTGCAGTCCATTGTTGGTCACTGGGCTTCAGAGGCAATTTGAAATATGAGCGATTTTAAAAAACATTTTTTTTTTTGGTACCATGGATCAAACTCATATAAGCAATTTTTGCTAACTCAAACTCTCATGTAAGTTAACATTCTGCTGAAGTTCTCTCTCCATAATTTATTCTACTTTCTGCAATATATCATGAATGGAGCCAAATTGGGGAAAAAGAGATTCTTTATTGGAGGGCTTCAAATCTGCAAAGGTTTATGGAGTACCTGCCTTGAGCAAAGTGCATCAGAAGCCCCTTGGCTACCACCTGGAAGAAACTTCACTTCCTGTCACACCGAATTCTGCATCCAAAAGGACAAAATACCTGACTGTGGTGTCCTGCCTCTCTCAGGAGGTGACTACTCGGAGCAATCTCCTGACATTAAATGGATGCTTCCCCAACATTCTATTGCTTGTGTTATATCTCCAAATCTCCAGGGGGTAGGGCAGAGGGATGCAGTTTTCAACAATTGTGCCAGATAATTTTTACTCTGCCAGTGCAGCCAAGCATTTGTGAAGCTGCATTGTGGGCCCTTTACAAAGTGACTCAGGGAACCTCTGGGGGCAGGGTGGTGATGTCCTGCGTCCTGCTCTGGCTCTCCCAGGATCCGCTAACAGTTTCTCAGGGATCTGAGAGCACTACAATGAGCACGCAGAGTGCTGAAGGCCTGTCCTGGTACACCCACTTATAACTTTACTTCCTTGGTCTTTTTGCTGGTATTTACAGCGGAGAGCCTGAATCTAAGCCAGAATTACAGATTGGCCAATATCATAATCCAGCTTAGTAGAAATACTGTGCTGAGCTCACACGGTATTTTTCTAAAGCTGAAGTCACATTTAAAAACCAATATATATGATAACCTGTGGTTTAATCTACCTAGAGTGTCAAAAAACAAACATTTAGTGAGGTCACTTAGAGAAGGCATGTATTATTTGGGTTTCCACATCCTGCTTGGTGCACTGTTGTCTCTTCCAGCTGGTTTCATTCACAGTGATTTACTGTGCTCCTAGTCCCTGTGGGAATCTGAGTTTGAGATCCCTGTCTTACCTGATCCTGAATATTCTTTTGACTTCTGCCATCTTAGGACTCCAAATCCTACTGAATGATCTTTTCCTGCACAAGGGTTAATCATCAGCCACGTCTTATGTAAATCAGAACTGAAATGTCTTGCTTGGCCAATTCTCATGAAAATACTGGTCTGGTGCTCTTCTTTACTACTTCTGGTCGTGTTTGCCTGCTCTGCATTTGTCTACTAACAGAAAGCCCCCTCACCTTTTTTTTTTGAATCCCTGACTGAACTTCTTTGAGGCCAGCAGCAGCTGTGACTTTCTAGGAAATCCAAGTGGACCTGCTAGATGAGTATGGAATGGGTGCGCACAGGCCAGGCCCTAATCTGGGCCATTTGGATCCTTGTAGCTGTCACCATGGGTGAGATATTCAATGGGAGAGAAGGGGGGAGAATTTTCCAGTGGTGGAAATGCCCAATGTCACTGAGACCTCTGGGTCAGAGATTCCTTCTTGAATGTGGGTAGAGCTTGAGTTTCTCCTAGCAAGGAGAGGCCCAACCTGGGAACTGGGTAGGGCTATGGGAGAGAGCCTGAGCTTCTGTAGGTTTGGCTGCAGAAACAGAACTTTCACCGGGGAAACAACACAGAACAGGTAATGCCAAGACATCTGGGTCCTGCTAGCTATACTGCTGGCCAATCTCTTCTTAATGCTTCATATTTCATATAGAAATTGAGATTTTTAGCATCTCCAGTATCCCTAGATGTTATCTTCAGACCACTGGAAATGGAGAGTTGATTTTAGGTGACAATTGCATGAAAATTTTTATATTTCCATTAAAACACATTAATTTTCCTGCATGTCTACCTAACTCATCAAAATCATAAATTTATAAAAGCTATTGCTTAAGATTCATCTAGGTTAAAATGTAAAGATATTTAATTTTTAGTAAAATAAACAGCTGGTAACTGTGCAGGTGATCCACAGACCTGCCAACAAAGCTGCTGGCAGATATGGAAATGACAGAAGTGTGGAAAATCCAAGGTAGACAATTTGGTAGAGTCCTGGCTTTGACAGAGTCCAGCTGTGTCCGTATCACAAAAAGAGAAAGCTTCAGTGTAACAGATTGGAGACCTCTCTTTATTCCCAGGTGGTGGTGGGCTGTTAGCAGCAACTGTCTGTACTCTGGCGTGATGATTTCTAAGATAATCTTGAAGGAAGTAGAGGACATGGATTTCCAGAGAACAGATTGAACTACTTCTGTTGTATGCTTGAGGGTGGAGAAAGAACAGTGTGCCAAGGGAGCTTTTGTTGGGTCATTTCCCTAACTGTGCAGCCAGCTCCTCATTCTTCACGTATGTTTCCTCAGAACCTGTGACTGAAGTGCCACAGAGGAACACCAGGCTGGGATGGGTCCAGGGGAAGCAAGTCACCGTGCTGGGAAGTTCCACATCTGTCAATATATTCCTTGGAATTCCCTTTGCCATGCCCCCTCTGGGACACCTGAGATTTGCAAACCCAGAGCCAGCAATGCCCTGGAATGACTTGCGACAGGCTACTTCCTACCCTACATTGTAAGTCCAGGCTCGGTTTGATGGGTAGCCTGTCACTCTGAGAGTTAGAGATAAAAAAATCACAGAATGGGAACAAGGATCATGCAGCTCAAGAACAAAGGAGAGTTAAGAATGGACACCAGAGAGAAGGAAGGACTGGGAGAGCCATGGGTCTAGAGGAGTGTTTCAGTATCTCAGGGTTCCCAAACTGACTGATCACTTGAATTGCATAAGGCATTATTAACAATGTGTGTATTCTCTGATCTCTTTTCTGAACTTTCTGAATCCGAGTTTCCTGAGTGGGAAATTTAGTCTCATGGTATGCCCAGGAATCTTACTCTGAACATTATTAATCAGATCTGAAAGTGCTCACTCTGAACATTAACCAGATTTAGGAAGTGCAATGAAGAGTTTCCTGAATCTTTTGGTTGAAAGGGACTATTGTAGTGTTCTGTGTGACCTCTCACTCATTGCCAGCTTTTACAATCAGATTGTGGTAGGGCTTTAGCAAAGAGCCATATTAAGGAACTCTTAGCTTCCATGGTCAAAATAGTTCAGTGCAATTTCTGGTTCACAGTGGAAATGCCATAGATACCTATGAAATAATTACATGAATGTGTCTGTGACATAGGGCGCCTAAGAAGTAAGGAACTTCTAGTCACAGCAGATTGCTGAGCTTGCATGGGTAATAAGTTACCAGGCTAATTATGGAGAAATGAAATGAAGTTTCTGGTGGGCAGCTAAACTTCAAAATATCCCCAAATGAGAAAATTTTATGAAGTTCTTAGATTGGTCCACATCAGTTCCTGGCATTAGGGTCCCAGGGCAAAGTGACAGTTTAGTGCCAGGATGCTCCATGATGGCTTCATGTAGTCCAGGAACTGACAAAGCTTGGAGACAAAACTTGTTTTCTGCCTCACTCATTCACTCAACTAATAATCGAGAACCAACTCTCTGTTACCTTGGGGAGTAGTGGATTATAGATGTTTTCAGACTTATTATAAAGTTATATCCTAGTAAGGTCATGTTAAGTTGAAAGTGCATTTACTGTACCTAACCTGCTGTACATTACAACTTAGCCACACAGTATTCCGTAGAGTATTGGTTGTTTCCCATTGTGATCTTGTGGCTGATTGGGAGCTGTGGCTCATTGCTGCTGCTAGGTATTTTAAGAGTATCAGCCTGCATGCAACTACCTGGGAAAAGATTAAAATTCAAAATTTGAAGTGTGGTTTCCATCCAATGTATATTGTTTTTGTACCATCATAGAGGTGAAAGACCATAATTTGGGATTGTAGTCATAGCTCCCTGAAAGGAGCAAGTAGACTGGTGGTGGTGGTGAGACAAAAGTGGTAACTAACAGTTAACATATAAGGTGACCAGAAAACCATGGTGGGTCAGAGAAGGGTAAGAACAAACAGAACCTCCTCCTGCAGCTGTCCAGCTTTGAGGAAAGATCAGAATGACTGCAGAAATCATTGAAGCCTGAACTTGTGATAAACAACATTCAAAAAGGGATAGATGGCAGCTGTGGTTTCCCATTGTCCATACTGTATACTTCTCTATTAAGAAAAATTAACTGATGACAGTACAGTAGGAATATCTGTGTATACAATCTCACCCTCACTGTGTGCCAGACTCTGGGCTAGGAGCTATGCAGTACAGCTACAACTAATACACAGACCTAGACTTTTAGCTGCTCACAGTTAAGTTGGATAAGATGATAATGATCACATACAAGCCTAGAACAAAACATGCACTGTATAGTCTGTCCATATAAGAGCTATGGTCCTATTCAGAAGAATCTTAGAAGACTTCTTGGAAGAGGTGGCACTTGGAAGGAATCCAAAAGAAAGGAAGGAACGTGAGGCAGAAAATATGAAAAAGGATAGTTGAGGCAGAGGAAGTTTTAACATCACCTGAATGTAGGAGTCTCTGCAAATGTACGTAGTAGGTTCCTGGTAAAGAGGCCTGGAAATACCCCTTTGTTCCTTTTGGGGCAGAGGAGGTAACTGCAAGAATGAAATTTTTGATAATCAGCTCAGTGTCCTTCCCTCCACAATTTGGAGAATTGCTAAGCCGACTTGAGTCTTTATGCATATCTATATTATGGGGTGGGTGTAGGCATAGCAGTGTGCTGGGGTTAGTGATGCAGTTATTCTGCATAATGTGCTTTTCTACCTGGGAGACAGATCAAAGAGAATAATGGTTTGCATGTCATTGTGGTTGTTTTGAAAACTATGAGGTTTGGGTATGATCAGACCTTGTGTATCTCCTGCTCAGAAAGGATGGTCAGTCCTCAGTGCATTCTCAAGTCCAGGGTTCTGCTATGCAGATTTACTGATTGTAATTCTCGGGTCTTGTTTTTCTCTCCCTTTCTTCTAGATGTTTCCAGAACTTGGAATGGATGTTAGTAAATCAACGCATTCTCAAAGTGCATTATCCCAAACTTGAAGTGTCAGAAGACTGTCTGTATCTTAATATCTATGCGCCAGCTCATGCTGATGTGGGCTCCAATCTTCCTGTAAGGGCTGCCTGCTGCACTTGGGGCTCCAGCTAGCACGCCATTGGCTTAGGATCTATGTGTGTGGTTAGGTATCTGGAATCAGACCTAGCCTCTCTTGGATAAAGTAGAAATGTAACTGCATTAATAACTTCTTTTAAAAAAAACATTATAATGGGTGATTCACTTTGTTACCTTTTTAATTGACTCTTTATTGGCAACTTGACCTTTGCTTTTTATTTAATTTTGTCTTTCCTCTCTGGTGAATATTGAATGCTCTGTCAACTTTCAGGAAAGACATGACTTAATAGGATCCTGATTTCTTTTCCTTTATTCTTTCTGTTTTTTTTTTTTAAATTTGAGAACTCTTTTCAAGTGGGTAATTCCATCCTCCAACTTTGCTGTTTGTAATTGAAACAGGTAATAATGTTAAATATCTCCTCTAGGGATATCAAAGCTCTCTGTAGAAGTGAGTGGGGGAAAGCTTGGTTCTATGATTGTTTTTTAGCCACATCTACCCTGTGTCTTCTGTCTCCTGTGTTTTGTTGCATCATAGCAGCACCATCTATTGAGTGCTTACTATGTGTTAAGCACAGGATGTGACATCATTTAACTCGCACAGTAACCCAATGTATAAGGATAGCCAGACCCATTCTACAGATGAAGAGGCCTGCGGTGTGCACAAGGATTTGTTCCATGTTGCACAAACAGTAGCTAGTGGACCTGATAATGCTTTGTCAGTCTCTCTTTTCCTCCAGGCTTTTCTTCTGTTTCCTGCCCCAAGGGTTATAGACTGTAATATGAACTTCAGAGAATGGAAAATACTTACTGTTTTTGTCATCATTACTTAATAGTGCATGTTTGTAATATACAATAATGATGTTTGTTTTGGGGAATTTGTACCTGCAAATAATGCGTCTTGCTCACTTTCAATCTCTTTACTTTCCTCTCCCTTCCATCTGCAAGAGTCTGTCTTTCAGTTTCCTAGCCTATCTCCTTTAATTAATTAATTTATATTCTAGGTCTTTCATATCAGAGAAAACATGATATTTAACTAATAATATCACATTGTGTATATATATATATCCTCTGTTGTTTGTCCATTCATCTGTTGATGGGCATCTAGGCTGTTTCCAGAGCATAGCTGTTGTGAGTGGCTCTACTATAAACATGAGCATGTGTGTATCACTATAATATGATAACTTTACTTTTGAGAATATTACCAGGAGAGATAGGTGGGTCAAATGCTATTTCTGCGTTTAGTTTTTGAAGGCTTTCCATACTGATATTCATAGTGTCTTTCCTAGTTTACATCCCCAGCAGCAATGTAGAAGAGTTCCTTTCACTCTGCATCCTTGCCAGTATTCGTTATTTTTGTGTTCTTGATGTTAGCCATTATGACTGAGGTAAGGCAGAGTCTCCAAATTGTTTTGATTTGCATTTCCTTAATGGCTAATGATGTTGAACATTTTTTTCATGTACTTAATGGCCATTTGTATTTCTTTTGAGGAATGTCTAGTTCACTTGCCCATTTTTCATTGGGTCATTTGTATTTGGGGGGCCTAAAGTTTAGATTCATTTTATATTCAAGATGTAGGTGTTTTCTCAAAATAGCTAGGAATTTTTTTCTCTCATTTTGTAGGCCTCTTCTGTTGACTGTTTCCTTTGCTCTGTAGAAACTTTTTAATTTGATGTATTCCTATTTATTGACAGGATGTTATTCTACACTATTGGAGTTCTAGTTAAGAAGTCTTTGTGCCCATGGTTTTAAATGTTTTCCTTATGCTGCCTTTCAGCAGCAGCAGTTTCAAGGTCTCTCTTTGACATGTAGGTCTTTGATCCATTTTGATTTGATTTTATTACTGGATGAGAGAGATCTAATTTCAGTCTTCTGTAAGTACATAGCCAGTTTTCCCAGACCCATTTGTTAGAAAGGCTATGTTTTTTTCCTGCATCTTTTTGGCCCCTTTGTCAAAAATCAGATGACTGGATGTGCACATAGTGGTTTCTGTGTCTTTAATTCTATTTCATTGGCCTACATGTCTGCTGTTTTTATTTCTGAGCAGTGTGTGTGTGTGTGTGTGTGTGTGTGTGTGTGTGTGTGTGTGGTGTTTCTGGGAATTAAGTGAGGCAGGGTCTTTGCATGGAGCTATACCCCCAGGTTCCACACCCTTTTTAAATTGAGACAGTGTTGGGCTGGGGATTTAGCTCAGTGGTATAAGTACCTGGCAAGTGTGAGGTTATGAGTTTGATCCCTGGTATTAAAACAAAAAGACACAAAAACTTTGCCCAAAAATTGAGACAATGTCTCCCTAAGTTGGTAAGTTGCCCAATGTGGGCTCAAATTTGTGTTCTTCCTGCTTCAGCTTTCTAGAGTACAAGATTACAGGCATATACCACCATATCCAATTTTACATGCCTGATTTTGTGCCAGTAGCATGTTGTGTGTAGCGTAACTTGAAATCTGGTATTGTGATGCCTCTGACTTCACCATTTTTGCTCAGGTTACTGTAAGTCTTTTCTGATTTCATATGAATTCAGAAATTTTTTTTTCTGATTTTGTGAAGAATCTTTTTGGCATTTTAATAAGAACTGCATTAAACCTGCAGATATCCTTATTGGTAATATTGCCATTTGCATGACATTATTTCTTCCTATTCAAGAACAAGGAATACTTTTTCATTTTCTAATGACCTCTTCAATTTTTGTAGAGTTCTCTAATTTTCATTATATAGATCTTTCACATCCTTGGTTAGTTTGACACTTAGGTATTTGGTTTTTCTGGAAGCTATTGTGAATGGAAATATTTTCCTGATTTTTTCTTGGCGAGCTCATTATTGGTATATAGGAAAGTTGTTGGATGTTATGTGTCGATTTTTTATTATTGAATATATAAATAATACCATTTGAAGAAATTTTTGGTCTTGATTTTTCTAATCAAAGTAAGGTTTCCATATAATAATTTTCATCTTAATTTGTGTCACAGCCCCAGTGATATTTAGTTACTGACTACCTGTAATGAGCCAGCAATGTTTTATCTGTGTGAGATGCAGAATTTTGCTCAAGCCTCATGATAACTTTCTAAGTGAGATACTTTCATTCTTCATAACTTACAGACGAGAAAAATGGCCCTTGGAGAGGTTGAAGAGTCTGCTCAAGGTCAAAACTAGTCAGTGAAAAAAGTGGGAATCAAATGCATCTACCTAGATGTCTGTATAATTAACCTCAGGTCTTTTATAAAAGACAAAATACTTGATCCTATTTAGAGGGAAGTGAGACGTGCATTTCCTTAAGGAAGACTGTCCGCATACTTGGGGAGGCGATGTGAGTGCCTGGTGTGTGTGCTAACTGTTGTATTCTGCTCCCCTTTTCAGGTCATGGTGTGGTTTCCAGGGGGTGGCTTTGAGAACGGCTCGGCCTCCATCTTTGATGGGTCTGCCCTGGCTGCCTATGAGAATGTGCTGGTCGTGACCATTCAGTACCGGTTAGGAATATTTGGCTTCTTTAAGTGAGTATCTCCAAGTGACTAACGTCTCAGACCCCCAGGGACTGTCAGCAGCTGTGGTAGTGTTCTGAAACTTGAAGAGGAAGGACCCATTAGTGACACTGAACAAATTCAAACCTCATATTTTAGGTAATTTTAGTAGCCTGCAGATAAATCCCAACTCTTAATGCCTATAAACTATTATTTTTCTTTCTCACCTTAGTAAAGACCAAGTGTGAGTACCCCTAATTGACAGAGTCCACAAGGTCAATCAGGGACCTGGGCTCTTTCCCTGTCTGGGTTCTGGTGTAGATTCACTAGAGCTGCACACCTGCATTTAGCCAGTAGATGGCGGAAGAGCGTGGAGGATCAGCCCAGGGAATGTTTTCCTGCGTCAGCCTGAAGGTGGCGCTCATCACTCCTGTTTGCACACCACCGGACAGAACTCAAATCACAAGAACAAATCTAACTGCAAGGTCACTAGGAATTATAGCCCAGATCTTTAGCTTGGAAGGTAAAGAAGCTGGTTGTATGAGTAGTTGGCTTCTCAAATGCTCCCTGAGGATAAACTCTCCATTGCACTACCTGCCTCCTCTCCTTCAGTAATACCTACCTTGTATTGGGCACTTTTTGAGAACCAGATCAATACTTGGACTTGCCATGTTATACCCTTCACCCTCTGACACTACAAGAAATATTCTGTTGTTACTTCAGTTTTACAGCTGGAAAATGGAGGCATCTCTGTGCCTCTACTAACTAGGAAGTTACACAGTTTTCTAGTCACAGAGCAGAGTCGAGTCTCTTGGCCACCTCTGTTATCCTGCCTAGAGAACAGCAGTGTGATTCCAAATTGCAATGTGATCAGCAGAAGAGCAATGAGGGTTGGGGCCCTGATTCTGTTTGGAGACTGCTGTCACATACTGGGGAGATGACATACTGCTGTCACACAGAAATTCTTCTTCTGGAGGCTCACAGGCCAGCGGGGAGGACAGTGCAGACACATCCACATCCACAAAACCTGATAGAACAGGATTAAATCTCCAGGAGTGAGAGACAAGGGGTGTAGAAAAAAGGAGGGAGTTGCCGGGGATCCAGAGCTTCCTGAGAGAAGTGATATTCTAGTTGTACCTTAAAGATGTGGTTGGGTTTGGGAGAGAGTATGCTTAGCTAAGGGTGCTATCCTAAACCCAGGCTGGAAAGCTGGAAGAGTTATAGCAATAATGGGGCTCTAGAAATATTTGCAAAGAATGCTTTGGGCCTATAACAATGTGAGTTGGATCTGGGACTGCTATGAAATCATGGCAGGCTGATGAGTGCCCTGACCTAGGCAGTTATACTTTTAGGTGCTTTATATATTAGAATTTTCAATAAGATTCCTTTGGCAGAAAGGAATTTGGTTTCTAAAACTTGATTATATTATCTTGGTTATATTATATTATCTAGAAGATAGATATGAAAGATATTATATTATCTAGAAGATAGATATGAAAGACTGAGTAAGGCTTGATTGGGCAAGTCCCTGAATATCATGTCATTCATGGTATTTGAACTTTATTCTCTAAAGACTGAGGCATCCAGGAGTGCCCTGCTCAGAGCAGTGTATGAGAAAGCTCACTCCATTGCAGAATGGAGGCTGGACATAGTGTGTCCAGCTGCAGATGGGGAGCTACTTGGAAAGCTACTTCCCAAACTTGATGCAGATCATAAGGAATTTGATGAAGATATAGAGGTCAACTTGCCTAACCAATATCACCCATCAGATAGTGAATGGCCACACTATCAATCTTGTGCTAGATCTTAAACACTGAGGTATAGTTCTTCTCAGGATAAATAAAAAGGAAAGAATAGAGACTGATATGGGGCTTTCCATGGAGTAGAGGTGAAATTAGCAAGGGATGGAGAGGTCTGGGAATGAGAGGTATAGTCAGAAGCAGCCCATTGGTCATGGACAGAGAACAGAACCCAGGAAAAAGGAGAAATTTAGGGGACCAGGGAATGGTGAAGAGTACTATGTAATCCTGATATTATGTGTATAAATTCATCACACAAACATCTTTAGGCATTTCTTTAATTCTGTGGAATTTTCAATTATTTCCCATTAATTCTCCATTAATTCTGGGAAATGTGCAATTCTTCAGGGGGCAGAGCATGAAGTGTGGTTAGGAGCAGGAACTCTGGGGTCAGACTCATTGAATCTCAACTCTGCAACTTTCTAGCACTGTCCCCACCACACTCTGCAACAAGGGGAATCAACTGCTCTGTGCCTGAAGCCCCTAATCTGTTGCAGAATACACATATGCATCATTATCCTGGTGGCATGCTCATACACTTAATTAAAGTGTATTTGTATGATCTGTGGCAATGGAGAATAGAAGTGCGAGATGGGGGAATTCGCATCTCAGTTTCTCTCTATCCATCCTAAGGCATCTGTCCATACGTCTCACCAATGGCACATGGCTGAAGCCTAGAATCCATAGTTCTTAGAGATCAACCTTTTGGGGGCAGAGCATAGAATGGTGGAAAGAATTGCAGGAAAGCAAAGGGAGACAATCCAGGACTGCCTGCCTCACATGTTGTGGCAATTGTATTCGCCTAAAATTTTTAGAACAGTTTTGGGTACATGCTGTGGCTGTAGCAATTGCTATTATAATTATTAAGTCTCATTCATTGGACTATCTGTGTTAGGAAGGTCTTTCTGGATTAGTACTGACACATTAACAAGAGCAGGACTGTACTGTGAACCATGGATTCAGGGGTGCCTAGGAACAACTTGAAATCATGCATAAAGTGTTGGGTGTGCATTTTCTAAACTGCATAATTTTCACCAGATTCTCAAAGAAACCAGAAGCTTGGCAAAGGAAGAGAACCAAGCTTGTTTTTCCCAACTTCTCACCCCCGTCCTAGCTGACACTACCACTAGGCTCTTCTGAGAACTCCTTGGACTGCAGGAAACATAGCTGCCATCTAAAAATTCTCAGCCTGCTTCTTTTCTTCCAGCACAGGGGACCGGCATGCCCCGGGGAACTGGGCCTTCATGGACCAGTTGGCTGCCCTGTCCTGGGTTCAGGAGAACATCAAAGGCTTTGGTGGGAACCCAGGCTCTGTGACCATCTTCGGAGAGTCAGCGGGAGCCATAAGTGTTTCCAGTCTTGTGAGTTCCGTGTACTATGACTTCAGTGAACCTGGGGCAGGAGGTTGCAAAAGTCAGGATAATAAATTACTTACATTTGATTGGTGCTTTCACATTGGATAAACACTTATATACAGTGCCTCCCATGAGTCTTGCAGATACAATTGTGAGTTAGGGGCACAATCTCACTTCATGGCTGAGGCAACTGTCATTGGGAGAGTTTGTAATGAGTTTCCTAAAGTCATATAATGAATAATGATTTGAGAAAAAATCCCTTATATTTGTAAAGTTGAACTATAGAATCCATTTATCAGGACTGACAATTCTTATTTGTATTAGCCAGCTTTTTTGAGGTGTTTCTGAAAGAAGTGACTAAATCTTGTACTGTCAGAAGACATCAGTTTCATTGATGCTGGCTTTACCTATTGAGCGTTAGTCACATTTTTGTTATAATGAATGCCTGATGCAGGTTAACCATAAAATAAAAGGTTTATTTAGCTCACTGTTTCAGATGCTCGAAGTTAAAGTTTAGGCAGGCCCATCAGTTGGGCCTTGGTGAGGGCAAGGGATGGTATCACATCATGGTGGGGCGTATAGGAGGAAGTGTCACATGTTGAACCAGGAAGCAGTGGAGTCAGGGTTGCTACCTCAGGACAACACTTTTGTGAAAATGACTTAATCCCTTTGAAGGGCAAAGTCCCTGCTGGTCTCCTGCCAGGCCCCTCCTTTTAAAGGTTTCATACCATTTTCCAATTCCATGGGCCTGAAGGCCGAGTTTCCACACTTGGATTCTTGAGAGACACCCAAACTATATTCAGAACATGGTATTGTTTAATAGAAAATCCCAGTGAAATCATGATATTACAAAAGATGAACACAAGCATTTTATTTTAACTTAAAACAACAAGATGTACATCCCTGACCAATGGTTTCTTACAAGGTGTTGTCTTTAGAATTGTTCTGTTAACCAGAGCTCCAACATGGATCCTTTTGTATAAACCACAGGCAGAATCTGCTGTCCTTGAACCACAGTGTCACTTTCTTTACAGTAAACACAGGCTTAAAGTAATCAGACTGCAGCTTATTCTGGAGTTTTATACTTTCTACCAGACATTTTACTCTTGTCTCATCCACACCTAATCTGACAGCAGTTACTTTTAGCTATTTGGCTGTAGCAAGGTTTTTAAACCCCTGGACACAAGTTTGTTTTCTTTTTTACCTTTACAGTCCATTGGCCCCCTTCATATTCCATGGATTATATAATTATAGTAATAAGCACAACTGGAAAAACAAGTTTAGAAGCAAACACATATGACTTTTGGCAAGAAACTGGTAGGAACAGAAATATATGGAGATACTAGAAAATGGCCTACTGGCTCTGAGTAATTAATTACAGAAATCAACCACATGGTAGTGGGTTAAGAGAACTTATCAGTTAACAATATTTAAGGTGTTTTTATAAATTCAAAAATTACTTTCTCTGGCAGACCATAGTAACCTAACCTTAGATGTATAACAAGAGCTACATGTTCTAAGTGAAATTTGCCAGGGAACTATGTGCAGAACATCATATTTTTTGTTTCTTCCACTTCTTACCATGGTTCCATGAAACAAGCTCAATTTCTACTCTGGTTTTAAAGGGAAGTAAACTGCCTATTAAAAAGTTAGGTGACTTGCCGGGGGTAACCCCTCAAGGAAGTGAAGGAGCTGGAATGTACACAGCAGAATGCTTGGCTAAAAAATTCGCAAGGAATCAAGGCCTGACAGGTTAAGTAACCTGCCCACACTTCACAGCTAGTCTTAGCATACCTGCACTGGGACCTGTGCCCTGCTCCCAAGTCAGCCCCTTTCTGGGAAGGTTTCCTTAAAGGAGAGAAGAACGGTATGTGGGATACATGTGGCTCCTAGGACAGTTCTCCTGGTTTTCCTTTGTGTTTTCTCTCCAGATTCTGTCTCCTTTGGCCAAGAACCTATTTCACAAAGCCATCATGGAAAGTGGGGTGGCCATCACGCCTAACATAAAGAAACTTGATGAGACAAGGACGGATGTAGGTATATTCCTAACACCTCTCCTTAGTCAGGAGGCGAAATGAGCAGGAATCCACAGAGGGCACCCTTCTCAGCATGACTTTGGCTCTCCTAACTGGCCATGCCCTGAGAACCTCATGCCGGCCCAAAGGGAGCTCTGTTTCTCCATGGAAGGCCTGGTTCAGTAAGGGATGGGTCCGGTCGCACAGTGCCACATTGCTGCTGTGCTTAGTGCATTCAAATATGTGTTAGATGTCTTACACATTATCCCATTATTTTTTGTACACAGTAACTAATTTCTCATTACTCTGTGTAACTCATCTTCTGTGCTTGCTTTACGTGGAATGGTTACCAGTGATGGTATTTTATTATGGAAGAGACCAAGGCTGTTTCTTTTGCAATGGGAAATAATGCTACAACTAACTAGTGATATCTGGCATGGGATTGTGAGGGGTGGTGGGGCATATGTCACACATATTTGTCATCTGTCAGGTTGTATTAATGCTCTATTAGAGAGTAAGGATCTGGAGAACAAGGTTTCTTGGTCCTTCATGCAACTAGCATAACATCTGGTATATATTAAGCAGCCACAAATGTGCGCTGAATGAATGAATGAGCTGTTTCATCCACTGAATATTAACTAAGCTCTAGGCAGTGGAGCCATCTTCTAGGAACTAATCATTTTTTCAATTTCTTTCTTTTTTCCTCTTTATTTCTCTTTTACTTTCACTGGTTCATTCATTCTTTCTCAAGACAGTAATTTACTATGTTGTCTGTGGTAGTCCTGAACTCCTGTGATGAAGGGGTCCTGAGTAACTGGGACTGCAGGAGCAGATCACTACGCTTGGATTTTGTGTTGCATTTTCTTAACTATTGTGTAGACAGTCGCAGTGTATACCAAGAGCAGAAATAGAGTATTCTCTCTATGTGAATGTACCTTCAATACACAGAAAATGCTGATTTTGGCAACATTATATATAAACTTATGAGTAGTTTGTGCATATATTTATTTATTCACTAGGCATTGATTGAGTACCCTCTGTTCTTGCAGTGCTATTAAGGACCTATGGGTCTATGAGTGGCAAAACCATATCTTAAACTTTTGAAGACTACTGGTTTTTTTATTACAAGGTCTTTAAAAATCTGGAGTCCATGAGTAGGCTGTCCTTGAACTCTCTACAGTTGTACACAGACTCAGTGTTTGTGCATTTTTCCAGGGGAGAGAAAAAGTCTGTAACATTTTTGAAAGATTCTCAGAAGATTAGAACCACTATCCTCAAAAGATAAATTTTACAATTGTAGAAGTTCAACAACAGACAAGAGGCAGGGTATTTAGTAATGGGCTAAGAAGGCAAGTTGGAACCACTGGGGTGGTAGGAGGTTAGGGGAGGAAAGGGTGATGGGGCTGCATTACTCTGGAAGGAGGTTTCAGAAGAGGCAGGAGTTGGCCTGCAAGAATGAGTCAGGAAAAAATTAACAGAATCAGATTCAGAATTATGGTTGTGAAATGTTAAAAAAAGTTAGTGATACTGGTGCAGAAACTGAGAAAAAAGACCTTCAGCTATTCTGGGGCTAGGGCTTGAGCTGAGTTAATAAAGTACAGACCCAGATTCATGTTTCAATTGGTGTTTAAGGAGCTTGCAAAGCTGCTCCTGATTCTGAGGCTCCAGGCTGCATTTGGTACCATGAGTTTGGGGCCTAATGCCATTATAGCTAAGCTCACAAGACTGATCTCTTTGTGACCAGGAATCATGATTCCAATCCATAGTTTCAGACTAACAACTGCCACATCCTCAGCTTTGTTATTTCCTAAGAAGCACAGAGACCAGCTAGCAGAGTCAGCATAATGCCATGCCAACTTTTCCTTAATGTGTATATTCCACAGGTGCATGGGACTGGGGAGGGGCAGCAGGTTAAACTTCACACATGAAGGACCAGTCTGTGACTGGGCAGATGGTACTTCTTGGATGCTTTCAGTGCTGTGTTCTGACCTGCTTCTTCTCTGGAAACAGTTGCAGATGATTGCAGATGTCTGTGGTTGCAACGCCTCTGACTCCAAAGCTCTTCTGAACTGTCTGAGGACAAAATCCTCCAGTGAGTTGCTGAACCTTGGCCAGGTGAGGAAGGAAGGGAGAATTTGGGGATACAGTTGCCCTTTGTGGTAGATAAATCCTGCCTCTCTGTTATTTGTTTTGACTGAGAACTTGGAAAAGAGAATGGCTGGGGACTCATGGCAATAGATGGAAAGCCAGGAATAGAACTTTTAAAGGTTCCTTAGTAAAATGTGATCTGAAGGGAAACCAGAATATTATAGGTTATTTAACCTATAATATTTAAAATGAAAGGACAGAGGTGCTGCTTCTCCTGGAGATGATCTAGCAAAATACAGTGGTTGTATCTTCTTTAGGATACTAAAGAGGGACCACACTTTGTTCCATGCATTCCCAGAAGCTAAAGTCAAAACTGATAGCTGGGCTTCTCTTATACAGTCATTTAGGTGTAGTGTAACTGAGAACTTCCTAAAACTTGAATTGTCTGCAGAAGGTCTGGGCTTCTTTAGAAAGCAGTAAGATGCCCATCTCTGCAGATATTCAAGCAAGCTCTGACTGACCACTGGCAATGCTTTCATCACTGAATAGTTAGTTAGACTGAATAGCCTATGTCCCTGTGCTAGGGATTGATACATTGGGCTGGACTAATAGTAGTTTATTTTTTCCTTTTTTTTTGTGGTACCAAGAATTGAGCTCAATGGTGTGTTTTTTTTTTTTTTTTTAAACCACATACCACATACCTTTTTATTTGCCATTTCGAGAGCAAGGTCTCATAAAGTTGCTCAGATTGGCCTCAGACTTAAAATCTTCCTGTGTCAGCCTCCCAAGGGGTTGGGATGTTTTTCCTTTTTAAATGCATTTTGACTATTGCTTGACTAGATTGGCTTAGCTTGACCAGGATTTGGGGATAGCAGAGTTTGTGAACAGAGATAACTGCTAATTTTTCTTCTCTTCCTTATTTTAGAAAACAAAGTCTTTTGATCGAGTGGTTGATGGCATTTTTTCCCCTGATGAACCTTTGGAACTATTGTCTCAAAAAGCATTTAAAGCAGTGCCTTCTATCATCGGAGTCAACAACCACGAGTGTGGCTTCATGCTGCCCCTGGTAAGAATCCCTGCTGTCCTCCCTGCTGATCGCTCCATAGTGATGCAGGTGTTTACTTCCCCAGTTGGCATTTTCAGAGGTGACAGCCAGCATTACGAGGGCTGGTGCCTACTGTCCTGCATACAGCGATAATCCTCCTTGTGTCTGCAAAGAGGCTGTCCTAATCTGTTTTGTGTTGATATAACATAATACCAGGTGCCAGCTCACACAAATTAAAGAGGCTTATGTGGCTCATCATCCTGGTAAAGTCCAACCAGTATGGTGCCAGTCTTTTGTGAGGACTCCTCTGCCCATGTCACAACATAGTAGAGAAGTAGAAAAGAAAATGGTTGCATGCAAAAGGGGCTAAATATATGAAGTGGTCTTGCTTTGTAACAACCCACTCTGTTGAGAACTGTGTCTTGAATGAACTGCAGCAGATGCCTTCCACTGGGTCTCATGTCTTCAAGAGTCACTATTTTTCAGTGCCATTCTGATGAAGAGGAAGCTTCCAGCACAAGAATCTCTGGTGGACATACTCAAACTGTTTCTAAACCAAAGAAAAGGAGGACTTAGAATCAGGGGTGGTGGTGGTAGATTGTGGCCAAGTGTCAGCTTTGTTCCTCATACAAGTTTACAGAAAAGAAGAAATGGTATAAAAAAGCAAAGAGAGGGTTGGGCTCAATGAGTCTTTATTACAAAATACATAAATTATTTCCAATAAACTCCTTCAGAGCTTAAATGCACATACATTCAGAAAACTTTAGTCCTTTAAACTTTTCATACATAGACTTGGTCCAGGCATTTTGAATTCTAAGAAAGCTAAAGTTGTACAAGTTGCAAAGGGATTGAATCATTTTCTTCATTTGGTGAGTAGATGTAGTACTGAGCATTTACTATGCACTCACAAAAATGGAACACCGAGTACTAAGCAAGTCATGAGGTCTCCATTCTCTGTGAGCTCACATCCATGAGGCGTGAACCACGAAAAGCACAGGTGAAAAGATGATTTTGGAAAGTAATAAAAGCTATAAAGGACTTAGTTGGGGGAGAAGACTGCCTCAGGGAGGTCAAAGGGCGTCAGGAAAGGCTCCTCTGAGGAGTGATCACTGAACTGAGGGCTAGATATGGAGAAAGAGCCATCGTTTCTGGAGTTTGGGGTTAAGAAAGAGGTTCTTTATTGGAAATTACCTGTCTTCAGTTGACTGGAGAGAGCAAATTCATAATGTTGTCAGAGCTCATTTACATAGATCCAACCCTCTGTTTTAAACTGGGGAAAGTGGGGTTGTCAAAATACAAAGCTAGCTGTAGCTGGCTATATAACTGCAGCCTTCAGTTCATCTGGTTGTTAAAGGATCTTCTGCCATTATTCATTTGATCTCCACAACAATGCTTGGGGCCCGTGGGGGTAGAGATTTTTTATTGTTTTGTAAATGAAACAACTTGGTGATAGGTTGTGACTCACACAAGGCCTTTCACTACTTTCTGGGTTCATGCTCCAAAGAAGAGGGCAAGTGCCACTGATGTCTCCAAATGCCTGCCATGTGACAGGCATGTGCCATCTGTGTAAGAACTTTCCAACCATCATCAGCATCCCTGAGAGGTGAAAGTAGCTTTCCTAAGTTTCCTCCTACTACAGAGGATTGTTGTGTGTATGTTTTATATATTCAGGCTCTGCCTTTAAAGGCTGGATTCTCTGCTCAACTGCTTTGAGATGTTAGGAGAGTTTCCTAACATCTCTGAACTCTTCTTTCCTAATCTGTGAGATACGACTAATTTAGGACCCACTATACAGGCACCCGTTAAACAGCCTGGCACACATTACGTAGTCAGCAAATGCTAGATATTGGAGTTATTCCAGTAGTGGAAGGAGAACTCGTACCCAGATATGGACTTTAAGACACTGCATGAATAATTTGCAGTTAAGTCTTTTCCCAGCTGTTGGAAAGCATAGGAAATCCTCCCAAAACACATCACAGCTCCTTAACATACAAGGACTTTTAGCATATAAAATACACTTACGGATAACTCAAATGCCTCAAGGGGTTCCCTGACACAGGTACATCTAAATACACATCCAAGTGATTCTTTCAACCAAGTTTTTCAGCAGAAAATGTTCCAAAGAAGTTAATTTGATCAGCAAATAGCATTTTTACCCCTTGTTTTTAAACTGCAATATTATCAGTAAATGATCATTTAACAAATGATTATATAAAGTTTTGCTATGTACCGAGCATCATTATAAGTGCTTTATAAATATCAGCTTGCTCAGTTCTCATCAGGGCCTTATCAGGTGGGACTTTTTCAACTTCCATCTTGTAGATAGGCAGGAAGAGTTTTAGGTCACATGGGAAAAGAAGGGATTCAAATTAAGGCCATCTGAATGCACAGAACTTGGGTTCTCAACCATCAGCCTCTGTATTCCCTATTGCTGGCTTCTCCGGGGAGTCTGAATGTAAAAGTCTTTAGAAGGGGAAAATAAGCCACCAGTTTGGAGGTTTTCTAGCTTCTCTTTGAACTTGGTGTTAAAGCCAAGCGGTGTCTTGTGATTGTAACCATAGATTTGATACTTTAAACAATAAAAATTCATCTTTTCACAGTTCTGGATGCCGAAAGTTCAAGATCAATTTGTAAGTGAGTTTGGTTTCTTTCAAGGCCTCTTTTTTTTTTCTTGGCTTGCAGGAGATATCTTCTTGTTGTGTCCTCATGTGGTCTATTCTTGTACGCTTGACCTGTTAGTGTCTGTTTGTGTCTGTATCTCTGTTCTCATAAGGACACTGCTCAGACTGGATTACCTCTTTTAACACAGCCACCTGTTTAAAGGCCCTACCCCAACACAGTCAGGTTCTGCGACCGAGGGAGTCAGTTTTTCAATATAGAAATTTTGGGAGAAGGACGTGATTCAACTAATAACAGAGCTACCGAATGGCCACTTGGTCCTCACAAGATCACAAGGATGACAAGAAATGGTGGCTTTTATCAAACATGAGGAGAAATGTATTGCTTAACTCATCTAAGCTTCAGCTACACACAGTCACTTTGGGTTGAGATGGTTCCTGCTCTTTCCACCCTCTCCTGGAAAGTCAGGTGCTCAGGCTCTCAAGAGAGTGGTTTACTTTCTGATGACCAGATGACTCACAGCTGACACCATGCCTCTCTTCACAGCAGGAGATTCCTGACATCCTCAGTGGCTCCAACAGATCTCTTGCTTTGCACGTGATACGATCCCTCCTGGTAAGTGAACTTGGGGATTGGTGACTCCCCAGAGGCTTGTTCCTTTAACAAACATGGCTGGGCCACACTCAGCTAAGCACAAAAGGTAGATGCACTCCTCATCAGTTAATTCATTCAACAAGCCTTCCCTGTGTGTGGGCCTACAATCCCTTATGCACAATCCCGAAATGCAAAGAGCTCCAAAAATCCACAGGCTTTTTGTAGCCCACATGGCGACCAAATCTGACTCAGAGTGATTTGTGCCACAGCCACTTTCCTTTCCATACATTCATTCACTTTGTGTTCTACTATTCTTGTTTCTTGGTGAACAAATCTGTGTGGCGCCGGAACGCTGCCTCCTCAAGCATGTTATATAATATGTGACACTTGCTCTGAATTATCTGTCTGGTGTGGCAAGTTCTGAATTCTGACACACACGTGGGACTGAAGGCCTGTATCACTGCACACCAGCCCAGCCTTGTGCTGTTTCAGCAGTACCAGTAACTAACTCACACTCCTTTATTACTCCTTTATTAACCATTTGCTCATTCTTTTTCTGTACAAACACAGGAACATCAGTGCTTACTCTAGACACTGGGTTGTAGATGGATTTCTTTCCTTTTCTACTTTCCTTCATTTTGTCTTCTTTCATTGTATGTATATTATTCAGCATGTACTTAGTGCTAGATTCATTTCCATTCTTCAATTCAGGGAGCAAATGTTTACTGAAACCCAGCAATTCCCGAGGCCCTGGTGTGCAGTGTGGGGAAGATGACATGAAAGTGCGTATCAGTCAGAGCAGGGGTGAGTCCCAGGTCTGTGGTGTCCACAGGATGAGGCAGTGGCTCCTTTGGGGCAAATAATTTTGGAAGTGTGATAGTGAGGGGAGCTTGGGAGGAACTACGAGAACCAACTGGGTATAGGAGGTGTGAAGAAATTAGCTAAAGGGGTTTCCTGCAGCAGGACAGGATGCTTAAAGCTGTTAATGTTACAGGAGTTTAAATGTGGAATCTTTTTGGCTGAATTGGAGGAAGAGATAGTCATTAGACCTTAGAGGTGAGAGGCACTGGAGCAGGAGGGCATTTTAAGTAGAAACAGTATCTTGAGCCAAGTCCCAAGGGTTAGAAGTAGGTTGTCTGTGAAAGTGCAAGAGGAAAGGAAAGATGTGCAGTTTCACCTTGGCCTGCTGGCATGCTGGTGTTCTAGCTTGGCATAACTGACGCCATCTTGAGCTCTGCATTTAACTAGTGCCCTGTGTTTGACCCAGGAAAATGGAAAATTACTCAGGGTGTAAGTCCCATGAGAAAAGCAGAATGAGCTGTACCCACAGTAGAAAAATTAACCTGCTCAACAAAGAAGCAGGATACAGGTGTCAACCCAAAAATTAATGTAAGATTCAAGCTAAATTGTTTCCAACAGGATGTCTTTTTGTGGTTCTCTGTTTAAAAGCTTTGTAATTTTCCAGTTCATGGCTACTCAGTAAGACTCTGAAATGGATCCATGAGAGTGGTCAGCTAATTAAATCCCAAATTTATCAAATTGCCTGCTTGGATTTCTATATTGTTTATGAACCCACTTCAGCTGGGAGTTGTTTTGCAAATGTTAATGGTTCTCTAATGCAGAAACATAACCTTGCTCCTGTTCCTTAGCAGTTTGCCTGGGGACTGTCTTCTGGGGACTTAGCAGAGAATCTCTCTACCCAGCTTGGTCTAGCACCATGAGGTCTGCTGGGCATGTGGTCCAGGTGGCTAGGCCCTTGAATGACAGCCTGCACCTACTGCAGGATCTCCCTTTGCTTTGGACCTCATGAAGAGCCATCAGCCTTCTGAGGATCTGATAAGAGTCTGAGCAGCTCTCCTAGATCTGTTTAAGGAAGTCTGTCCCCAAATTCCAAAGAAACTTACTGGAAGTTGTACCACTGAATGATGTCAGTACTTTAAGTGTCAGCAGATTGTCCAGATTTCCCTACAGCAACATATCCCTGAAAACATCATTATGCATGTGTGTTGTAGTCAGGAACATTGGACTTGAATGCAAACAGATTGTGAAAGAATTTGGATCAACCTCTCTAACAGTTTACTAGGCTATAATACTAGCATTGTAGGATTGCTGGGTGGATTAAATGATGTAAGGCACTGAAACCACTCAGAATTTTGCCTTCTCAGGCTAATGCTTAATGTGCTGCCTATTGTTGCTGACTCAGATCTCCTGTGACTATGATTGCTTTACAGCATCTTCCCGTCCAGTATTTGCATGTTGTGGCTAATGAATACTTCCCTGGAAAGCACTCTCCAATTGAAATCCGAGATAGTTTACTGGACTTGCTGGGAGATGTGTTCTTTGTGGTCCCTGCGCTGGTCACAGCTCAATATCACAGAGGTGAGTCTCCAAAGAGCACCCTCCAGGGACATTGTCCAGTGAGGCCAGTGAGTGTAGGGATCTGTGTTGCCCACTAACTGGCCACCTGCTCTGTCCCTTTGCCCCCTAATTGTCTGCAGTAGAGCCATGGAATGACAACCTGTGCAATCCTCTGCCTTTTAGAGTTTGAGAACTTCAATCAATTTTTGTTTCTATTCCTTTCATGTGAAAACTTTGCAGCTCCCTATGATTTTCTAGGCCTCACCCCCTCGCCCCAGGTTATTCTCTCTCTGGAGTTATCTTTCTAACATCTTAGTTAAGGAAGTAATGGAAAAATATAAAAGAGAAGTATTATGTAGGGGGATACAAACCTTGCTCTCTCCTCTCCTCTTCTTTCCCCTCTCCTCCCTTCCCTTCTTTTCTCTTTCCTTTCCTTCCTTTTTTTCTTTTCCTTTTCCTTTCTCTTCCTTTCCTTTTAAACAAATTCTGTACTTATTAAAGGCCTCTTATGTGCCTGGTCTTGTTCTGCATCCTGGAGATATAGCAGTAAGCCAAACAAAGATCCAGCCACCATTCTAGTCGGGCAGATTGGTAACAATAAACAAGCAAACACAGAGTCTGCTAGATGATAATAAGCGTGGAGTAAAAGCATGGCAGAGGTTATCAGAGACAGGGTATTCTGGGTGTATGTATTTGTATGTAGTCTGGTTAAGGTAGCAAGTGAGATGAAGACTAAGAATGGGCTACTAAATTTGGCAAGTGGAGGTCACTGCTGACCTTGATAAGAAATACTTGGATGGCATGATAGGACAATAAAAGCTTGACTAAAATGGATACAAGAGAAATTGGAGAAATTGATTTCTGGATTCAATGCAAGCCCAATCTCAATCAAAATCTATGCAGTAGTTTTGGAGAATGGAGGAATTAATTATAAAATTTATATGGGTATATGAGGATGGTCAAAAATTGTTGAAAAAATGTTGGAAGGCCATCATTGAGCTACAGAAAATAAAGTTTTGTATGGGCTGAAGGTTAGACATATACAATAATAGAAGAGAATGGAGAGTCCAGAAAATAGACCCACTTTTATGCAGTTAAAGATTGGAGCTGGGTTAATTGGATAATTTATTTTATATATAAAATAAATTATTTTGCTTGTCAAAAGATGTTATTAATGAGACTAACAAGAATGAGGGAATATAGAATTTCAGCATCTATACCCAAAAAAGGTAGTGAATACACAGATGAGAACCAACACTTTTGTCAGGGCTCTGTTAAAAAAATACAAATTTTTAACCAGTAGGTGAACATTTAATTATGGTATAAGCCCCTGAATCTCAGTAATAAAGCTCTGTGGCATTTTCTCTTACTCTTGAAGCATCACCTGCTATCCAGCAGAGCAATGACCTTGAACTACAGGAACCTAAATTAATTGTGCAGTGTCTTAGTACCGGAGGGAGAAAAATGGATTTATTCTCAAAAAAATCATGGTTGGTTATTTTGAATTGTCTGGTGGCTACAAAATGACTAGCCTAAAACGACTATTTTCATAAAAGCTTTGCTTGTGTTAGACACAAATTAGAAGTCTATTAAGGGTCAGGAAACTGCCTTGAGGGTATCTGTTGAAAATGTTTAAAGAGACTTGTAATAGTTTCTGCAACCAGGGACAAGGGATATCAGAGAAAACTATAAAACTGAAAATATTTTGAGGAAAGGCTGAAAATGAAACTTTGGGAAAGAAAGTCTTGAAAAATCCTCACATATTCTTGGGAAATTAGAAGACTATGCATGTTTTGTAGTGTTTCTTTCACCACAATTTTTAATGTGAAAATATGCTATTTAATTTCTAAATATTTGCCAGTTTTCCATATTTCCTTTTGTTATTGATTTATGATTTTACTCCATTATAATCACAGAACATATTCTGTATGATTTCTGTCTTTTTAAATGTCAAGGTATGTTTTGTTATCTAACATATGTTTTATTCCCGAGGATATTCCATGTGCACTTAAGAAGCATAGGTACTCTGACACTATTGGGTGTGATGCTCTTTTCATATCTATTAGAGCTAATCTTTAGTATCATTCAAGTTTAAGTCTTCTATTTTCTTTATATTTTGTATAGCTGTTCTGTTATGAAAGTGGAATGTTAAAGCTGTAGCTATTAATATAAATATGCTTATGGAAATAAAATATGAATGTAGGCTACAGCATAAATGATTCTTAGGAACTTTAAGTGAAAGAAACCAGAAGTAGGACACAAAAAGTCACATGCTGTATGATTCTATTTGTATGAAATGTCCAAATTAGGCGAGTCCATAGAGTTAGAAGGAAGAATTATATTTTCTAGAGAGTAGAGGAAGGGTTAAGTGGAGTGACCACTTAATGGAGGTTGGATTTCTATTTGGAATGATAAAAATGTTCTGGCTATAAATGTTCTGGTGTTGTTTGTACAACATTCTGAATGTATTAAAAATTACAGAATTATTATATATTCTGTAAAATGGTTAAAGTGGCAAATTAAATGGCTAAGTAAAATGGTTGAGAATTTTATCTTAAATATACTGCTAAAAATGAAAAAGCAAACTACAAACCAGAAGAAGATAGTCAAGACAGAATTATCTCACAAAAATCATGCTCAGAATATAAGAACTCAAATTCATAGTAAAAAATAATATTTTGCAATAATGGGCAAAAGTTTGAAAAGATAGCTCAGAAAAAAATACAGGAACATCTCAAAGCCCATGAAAAGTGTTTAACAATATTAATCATCAAGAAAATGCAAAATGAACCAAAAATGTAAAACAAGGTAACCTTTTGTAACCACTAGAAAGGCTGAATTTAAAACACAAACCATAATAAGAAGTATGGCAAAGTATGTGGAATGTTCAGAGTTCTCAGGAACTACTGGAGGGAACGGGAAATGGTACAGCCACTTTGAACAACTCACAGCTTCTTATAAATTTAAGCACAGCTACCTGATTCATTCTGTTTCTTTGTATTCACTGAATAATGAAAGTATATAACCATATGAAAGATTTATTTATGTATTTCTATTCATAACTGCTGTACCCATCAGAACCCCAAATTGGAAACAACCTATCTTTTTTAGATGAACGGATAAACAAAATTTGATATATTCATGCAATAACAAAGTACTGGGTGATAAAAGGGAATTCACTATAGATTCAACAACATGCATGAATCTCAGAAAGTTATGATTAATGAAAGAAGTCATGGTGTATATCCTAGAGTCATAGGTATCATTTCATTTATGTGATGTTTGCAAGTAGGTGAAATTAATTTATAGGAATTGGAATGATAATATTGCCAATATCTTGAGCAATTGACCAGAAGGGACCTTCCTGGGGTAGTGAAAATACTTAACGTCCTGATTGAGGTGGTGGTATATGATCATGTATATATTTGTAAAAACACACCAAATACTGTACTTAAAATCTGTACTTTTATTACTCATAAATAGTATTTCAATCTTAAAAGAGAATAAGAGGAAAAGAAATAGATACATTATGCACAAGCAACTGTGTTAAGGGGCCTTTCTGGAAGAGAGGTAGAGTAATGGTCCAACAACTGGAGGGGTGATGGAAACCAAGTGTGTGTGTGTGTGTGTGTGTGTGTGTGTGTGTGTGTGTGTGTGTGTACTGACTGCCTATGTGAGAAATTGTGTGTGTTTAGTGAATGTGTCCATGTTTGTGTGTATGTGTGTGTACATGTGTGTTGGAAATTACAGAGCAAAGACCTTTAACAGAAGAAAGATCAAGGTATGTAGATTCACATGCATGGATTGTGAGTTTCCTTGAAATCAGGGAATTAGCCTTACTATGTTTATCACTAGACACTGGAAGCAGAGTCAATGAGAGAAAATCCCAAGGTAGATATTGGCTTAGTATAATGGACTTTGTTTGCACACAGAAAAATTGCCTTCTCTGACTGCCTGGTACGGTTGTGGGTTCAGTGTCCCTATGGCTGCTGTAGCAGAGAATTCCAGCCTCAAATGAAAAAAGGGAAGTTAGGCTGGTTTAGATCACCTCTTAGCTCTGAGATGTCACACACATGGAGGGAGGGATGAAGAGCCACCCCCTACTTCAAAAGAACACGTGCCTGACCTTCTGACCTTTCATCAGATTCTGGTGCACCTGTTTACTTCTATGAGTTTCAACACCGGCCCGAGTGCTTTGAAGACACAAAGCCAGCCTTTGTCAGAGCTGACCACTCTGATGAAATCCGCTTTGTCTTTGGAGGTGCCTTCCTGATGGGTGACATTGTCATGTTTGGTAAGAAACTGACTCAAGTGGCTCCTGCCCTTGCAGAAATATGAAACTTGGAAATTTTGTGGGCAGAACAATTGGCTTCCTCCTGCTAATGTAAGGTCCCTGACTCACCCATCCCACTACTGTTTGTTGTTCTATAAACAGATACATAAATTTAGGTACATATTTACACAATTAAATATATAATGCATTGATTATATTGGTAGATCTTTACATTGTTTCCAATCTTCTGTTGGTTTAAGCAATGCTTAGGGTACACACATGTTTATTGCTCATGTAGAAGTACAATTATGCCAAAAGATCCTAGAAGTAATGTAGAATTGTCAGGAAAAAGACTACACACATTTTAAATGTTGATGAGGTTTCTATGAATGCATGAAACTGTTTCCCACATCTGCTGGAAGGCAATGTTTAAAATGCAAGGTTCCCTAAAACCTTCACTGATAACAAATGATTCCTTGGCTCAGAATGGTCTATAATTCTTTTAGATTGTTAGGTTAGGAGGCCTGGTGAGTTATGATTTAATCACCACTGTGGTTTGCAGACAGACATACCCTTTGTGTGGAAAGTATTCCCTCTGTGTTTCAGAAACCAAGACAAGAAAGAGTCGGCAGTGAGTGTTTTCAAGATGAATGTTTCACTTTGTACTGAAGCCTGAGAACTGGGCACTTTGGGACACGTGAGTTATCTAATTTTTTGAAAAATAAAGAACCATTTTTATGGTCACTGATCTCACTGTCCTGTGCATCTTAGAAATCCTTTGAGGCTTATACTCAGGACTTTAAAGATAAGACTTCTCTGCTTCCAAATAATTTTACCTCAGCTCGTCTGGATCCAGATGAGATTTTGAACTGTTACTAACGATGGTAGCTCATTTATTATTAAATTTCTGATGATTTTTTTTTTGCCTAAAATAGCCAACAAATTACTTGAGACTATCAACAGAAAAGCATCCATGACAATTACATGCAGGAATAATTATTAAAATATTTAGTTAAAACATTATGCAAAGCAGGCTCTTTAATAATTCCTATTGGCTTCTGGACTGTGAGGAGAGAGCCTGCCACACGGAATATGTTTCTGAGCTGTGGCTTCTTTCTTATTTTCTTTACCCACCCTCATAATACAGATAATGACAGTGCTACCTTCCAGGTTGTCGTGAGGCTGAAATGGTACAACTTTCATAAAGCACACAGTGAGTGCTTAATACATGTTACTATTCTTAGTTGGCACCCATTTACTGGGCCTGTACTATGCCATGGAAGACTTTCCACATTATAAAAAATAAACAACCTATGTATCAAAGGGCTAAATTTCTTGATATCTAGAGCTCCTAAAGCTAATGAAAAAAGAATAACCAGATCCAAGACAGAGTAACATGTGAACAAAGCAGTTTATTGCAAATGAGACACAGTGGCTTTTGAGTATATGAAAATCTACTCAATGTCACTCTCCACAGGAGCCCTGTAGACTACCTTGGCTGGGGAATCATTTGTCATCAATTAAGGTTTCAAAGAACAACATTTTAAACATTGCATTATGGCAGGTTTGCAGGGAACAGGCAACTTCTTCCAATAGAAACTTCTGTCAGTATTTAAAATGTGTAGTCTTTAGCCTGCTACTTTTAGGAATTTTTGTATAATTATACTTCACTTGTATAAAAATATACATGCACATTAAACATTCCTTTAAGCAACGGAAGACTGGAAATAATATAATGATCCTTCAATAAAATACTGGATACAGACATTATATGAATACAATTGCATATAGATACATATTTAAACTAATATATATTTATAGGAAAGCAAATGGCAACTTCATAGGGCACAATATAGAACCATCTTCTAGATACAAATTAAGTGAAAATGAAAACAAGGTGCGGAACATGTACCCAATATACTGTCAAATGTGTAGAAAGTTGTCCACTATACGTTGTACCTGTATAGTCTATCCTGGGGATAGAAGTCCTTAAGAAGTTGGTGACAATGACTGTCTCTGAACTGCTAACTGTCTGAAAGGAAGTGACAGAAACACAGCTTCTTTTTATTAGATATTAGAATTAGTACTTTCCTTGTATTTTGTATTTTGTATTTTAGTCAGGGTCTTAGTTTCCTTTCTCTTTGCTGAGACAAAATACTCAACCCCCAAAGTTAAGGAAGGTTTATTTAGCTCACAGGTTTCAGTCTATAATCAGCCGGCTCCAAGGCAGGGTGGCACACGGCCGAGGGCCAACTGTTCACAGCGATAGAAGACAGCAAAAGCAATAAGCCAGTGTGAGTTAAGCCTCTTTCTTTCCCTTATAGTGTAACTAGTCTCCTGGGATTAGGGCCATGCCAAGCCAATCAATGGTCTGATCCAGTAATCACCCACCTTTAATTCCAGCACTCTGAATCCCAGCATTGCCCTACGAGTCAGTCACATGCTTTACAGTCAGCCACCTCCAAAAAACCACTATAACTGCGTAAAGCTTTGGGGGAACATCTAGACACAAACAAGAAGAGGTATTACCTTTTCAAATACAAAAATGCACTACAGTCAGCCCTCTACATCTGTGCTATAACCAACTACAGACTGAAAATATTGGGAAAATTGCATATGAACTAAGCAAGTACAGAGCTTTCCTTGTCATTATTCCCTGAATGATATGCATAACCAACTATTTACATGGCATTTATATTTATTAGATATTGTATACAATCTAAGGACAAGGAAATACAAATGAGGATGTGCATAGCTTGTATGTAGAAACTGCATTATTTCACATAAGGAATTTGAGCATCTTTGGATTTTAGTATCTGCAGGGGCATTGTGGAACAAATCCCAGGAAAATTGAGGGAAACTTGTAATTAATTGTTTGGAAAATTGTGAATGTGTATGTGTGTGTGTGTGTGTGCATGTGCATGCATTTGCATATTCTGAGGCATATTTGTGAGCAGCTGTATTTGTGTTTGTCCCCTGCAGAAGGAGCTACGAAAGAGGAAAAATTGCTGAGCAGGAGGATGATGAAATACTGGGCTAATTTTGCTCGGAGTGGGTAGGTGAGGCTGCTGGCTTCCCCCACACCAGGTTCTGGAGAATAAAAAAATCTTACTTTTGTGTGTTCTCTCACTTCTAGGAATCCTAATGGGAATGACCTTCCTCTGTGGCCAGCCTATAATCACACAGAGAAATACCTGATGCTGAATTTGAACATGAGCCTTGGACAGAAACTGAAAGAGGAGAGAGTGAAATTTTGGACGAATATTGTCCCTCTGATCATGTCAGCTTCTGAAGCTTTTCTTAAACCTCTTTCCCCCTTAATTTTCTTTTCTTTGCCCTTGACTTTCTTTTTCTCATTTGCTCCTTAGAGTTAATTTTTGTGTGATTTTGATTTTCCTCATTTTTTAAAGTTTTTCCCTTCACCATTAACTTCATTCTCGGTTTAGCTGCTTTCTGTTGGGAACCTTTGTGGCATACACTGCTTAGCTGATGCATTATGGACTTAAGAATCATCTTCATGAAATTCTTTTCAATATCAAAGAATGCAATTGTCTTGGAAGGCAGCAAGATTTCCTCAGAAAGTTGGAGGAGGGCTGACTCATCTGTTGTCTTAATTATGCTGTTGTTATTCATATGAAATAAAATCAGTGCAAAATATATCCAGGAAGCATAATTTTAGGCTGTGCTGATAATTCTCCCCCTATACTCAGTGTCCAAGATAAACTGGACTTTTTTTTTTTTTCAATCAGAGAAGGTGTTTTTGTCTGTTACATTGCATTATGGCAGGTTTGCAAATTCTTTCATCCCAACCCAGGGCAGCTTTAGCCAGAAGCCAAGTAAGGATGTTTTGGACATCTCAGAATTTCAGGAGCATTTCTTTTTTCTCCCACTTGATCTATAAAGGTTAGGGATGATAGCTAAAGAGCAGCATTCTTAGCAATGGAGATCACACATCAGGCATCAAGTGTCAGATCAGAGACACCAATCAGAAGAAAGAATTTCCTGATAGGATCAAGATTGACCTACCATTCAGCAAACATGCACCAAGTTTCCTCACTGTAGACACCAGGCATTTCCTTACCAGGATATACTGATGAATAAAAATATAGTAAAACAGCAAGCAAACAGACTTTAGTTGTTTACGTAATGCAAATGAATATCTTATGATTTAAATTTGATAAGCATGTCCCAGGAAAAGCAATGTATCTTTAAAAGTGAAATGGAAGGTTCCTAATTTATATTGCAATATTAGTAGACATCTTTCAAGAAATAGAAATTATATTAAAAAAGATGAGTAGAAGGCCTTGATTCAATCCCCAGTACTATTTAAAAAAAGGTGAGTTGAAGTTAGCCATACGATAGGGAGAATGTCTTACATATCATTATGCAAAAGATGTACTCTTTTTATATCTGCATAATTCTTACTAGAACCATATAATGCAAGTAGGTACTTAGCTTTTCTTGGCAACTTCTTTAAGACTACACATGTTACACACAGAACAGGAAGATTTCTAAACTGCTAGTCACTTTGAATTCCTCTAGCCCTGAGATCTCCAGCTCATCATCTGACTGTGAGTCCTAGATTGTTGGGAGCCGCGGCCGACACCGGTCGCCTTACTTGGTGGACGTGAGGCCTGTAAGGAAGGAGCAAAGCCTGAGCTAAATTACCCCTCCCATCGAGTGAGCCAAGTTGGCGCCTGCTTCCTGCCCCCTGATTGCCCTGGCGACGTAAGCAGCCCGCGCAATAGAATAGTCTGCCTAGCAACAACTGATGTTAGCCAATCAGCCCGCATCGCGCGCTTTGAACTGATTGGCCACTGTTACCCTATAAAAGTAAGTGCCTCTCCCGCCACGAGAGAGAAGCACAGAGAGAAGCACAGAGAGAGATAGAGAAAGTCCACCGGCGAGAAAGGGCTGGTGGCAGAGCGGAGGCCTCGCGGGGCCCACGCGGAGACAAATAAAGACAAGGTTGCACACCGCCAGACTTTGTCGTGTGTCTTTCCTGCCGGCCGGGAGCGACACCGACACTAGATATGTTTTATTTAGTCCAAATAGTGTTAAAAATGGTTTGGAATTAGTTTCCAGGGAATTTCATTACAGGAACTTTATATTAAATGCCATGTTCCAGCTTTGGATGAAACAAAAACAAGAAATGTGGAAACGAGAGCTGCATTCCCATTTGATTAACCAGGACTTCTGACAGCCCACAGCACATGTCCATGCATATTAGAAGGTGCTACTCTTCACACCCTGTACAGAGGTCTTCCAGGAAACTGTTGATAAGCATCTGTGTCTGTGGTGGGAAGGCCATATCCTCTGAAATGCTGCCTCCCCCTGCACAAGGGTTCCCTGCAGCCATGATGGAGGAATCTGCAGGAAGTAAGTAGAAGCTGCCTCTCTTCACAAAGGCATGAGCTCTGAATTTTGCACACTCCTGATCATTCCTCTTTGTCCTAGTCCATGTCTCTCTTTGATATTACCTCATCCCTGAAAAACATATAGGTTTGGATCTCTGAAATCTCACTGTGTAGTGAGTCACGAAGATGCCAGCTGATTCCCTCAGGAACCCATTTCTTGAGCTGGCAAGTCAAAACCAGGCCTACCTATGTCAGCATGTAATGCAAGGCTGTGGGTTGTCTTTGGCTTAGGTGGCCAAAGGAGGGGCAAATCAGAGATGCTTGGGATACTTTATGGCTCTCGGAGGCCTATGCCACATTCAAACAAGCTGAATTCTGAAACTATAGAAGATTAATTCCTATAATGGTATTTGGAAAACACACATTCTAAAATACATTATTAAATGTTACTACGCGTATCCTTTATTTACTGCTTGCAGTCCCAGCATCCTTGAATAGGGTTCTAACTTTGGAGGTGTTTTGATAGGTAAGTGGAATATATATAAGATATAAGGCCTAGTTCATTCAGATGTAGGGCCTCTGTCTTTCTCGTGCCAGTCCATATACAGTCATATGTATTATGGAGTAAAAATTTATACATAAATGGCAATTGGCATCTGATTTTAATTTTTCATTTAATTGAGGCTTTTTGATCAAGAGTGTAGACAGAAGAATTTCATAGACAGTTTTTCTAAAATTGCAGTGCTTAGACCAATCCCTAGTCCAAGTGAAGTAGAATCTTGTTGGAAGGACCTGGACATTCTCTTTGTTTTTTGACTTTTAGAAATTTGGTCACATACCTATGATTCATAACTATTGAATTTGAATAAGGGGGCACTTGTATTTTCTACATTGCTAGAAATCGTACTCTAATCTGCATTAGCATCTTGGATATTTATGGACATAGTTTGGAAAACAACTTCAGGGATGATTACTTTAGTTTTAAAATATTATTTATGGCATCCAGATTTTCAAAAAATATACCAGGTTAAAAGCCAAGCCCTTTTAGAATTACTCTTTCTTATACTTTGAGAATTTGTTTTACTAAAGAGCCATATCACTTTAGCAATCCAAGCGCAAACTGTATGTTTCAATCGCCATTTATTTTCTATCATTGTAAAACATAAAACATCAAATCACTTCCCTATTCCAAAATAAAAATTTTACTTTTCTTGAAAAGGAGATATCTTCTTTTCTTTTTATTGTACCCAAACAATCTTGAATCAGATTAAATTAGACCAAAGCAAAGCTTTAGAAAAAACCACATCTTTACCTGTGAATTTTCCCAGTGTCCACCAGAGGGCAGTCCTGTAAAAGGAAGAACATCTGCATGGATGGTCTTGCCTCTTGAGGAGATACCTTGAAACTTGGACAAAATAGGAAACTTACCAAATAGTTGAAAAAGAAACCAGTGTCATATATATTGTCATTATATCTGTAAACATTTGGAAAGGAGAAGGATCATCAATGATCTGAAAAGTTTTTTTTTTTTAAATTTCTGTGCTTTACATTAACCGAATCATATATTTTTGCCTTCTCTTAACACGAAGGTTGCGACTATATCTCTCTTATTGTACATAGTTGCAGTGTGCTCATTATCAGTCCTATAATGTTATTTATAGTGATAATGTGCCATCATTGCCCATTCTACTGTTGATGGACATTTGGACATTACTATGATTTACCCAGGCTGCCATAACAAAGTAGACTTCACCAATAGAAATTCATTTTTGTATAGTTCTAAAGATTAGGGATTCCAGATCAAAGTGACTGCTGATTCCATTCCTGGTGAGTACTTTCTTTTTTATTTTTAGGCAGCTGCCTTCTCTATGTCCTCATATGGTCTTTTTCTGTGTGTGGGGGGAGGAAAGAGAAGAGAGAAAGGGGAGGAGAAGAGGGAGGGGGAGGGGGAGGGGAAGGAGAGGGGCAGGGAGAGGGGGAGGGAGAGAACAGACTGGTCTTCCTTCTCCTTATAAAGACAGAATTTCTTCATTCTTAAGTATTCAACCTTATTACCCCCATAAACATTTTGTCTCTAAATGTATCACTTTTTAGGGGTTGAATCTTCAACATGGGATTGGGGTGGCATAATGCAGTCTTTCACAGACAGTCTGTAGTTTGAAGGATAAAAATATCCCTCAGTTGAGAGCATTTTCCTGCCTTCACTTTACATTTGTGTCTGCTTGAGATCCCCTCCTGCCTTATTAACTTCCACTTATCTGCTCTAGAATCAACTCTCTTTGTACTGTCAATCTTTTAGTGTCTAAGAATATTGTTGTTTTCCCTGCATCTTTTTTGTCTGTATGTATTTGCACTTCTAAAAACTTTATTTTCTTGGCTTTTAAGAAGAATTTAGGGAGAGAATAAGATTCAAGATTATATAGTCCTTGAGCAAAACTAGGATATCTGGCACCATATCGCTGAAATGCTCCCTTTGTGTTCCACAGACTCGCCAAGCCATGGGCACATCATAGCTAACAGGTACCAGAACATCCAGATAAACATTATCTGAGGGACACTCAGGATTGCACAAACTCATGCTATCTGTAGAAACTGCCTTTCTGCCCATATGCTATGTAGCTGTTTGTTGAAGTCCTGGTTATACAATGGAACGCAGGTAGTGAATGAGCTCACTGTTATGATATTTAATGTACAAAATCCCTTCCCTTCTGTAACTGGGTATACAACACAGCAATGGAAATGCTGTAGTCAGTTGACACATTGAGTTGTTGGACACACTGAGTTAGCTTTGGTGATTTTCTGTCAAATCCAATGCTACCAGACATTCTGAGTGTTTTCTGGTGACTATCCTGTCAAACCTGCCTCCACTGGACTCTCTGTTTTCTGATGTTTCTTTACCATAGTCTTTTTCATTTATATTTTAGTAATGATTCTTACTTCCCTCAAATTATCTCTGGTATTTTCTTTTGCCTCTTGGCAAACTACCCCACAAACCTAAACACCTAGGCTGTGGATGCAACAGTGATTTCGTGGATGTGACTTCGTGGTGGAAATTGCTGGGACTTCTTTTTTATCTGCCCCATTTTTGGAGGTGCAGATTGTAGTGCCCAGCCTTCCTTGTGATTAGATTGATCACACGTCTGAATTCCTTCATTCTAGCTGACTGAAATTAACACCCATCACAATTTTAGAAATCGTAATTTAAAGATGAAAAAACTACCAAAATCCTGATCAGGAGTTAGCAAACTATAGCCCAAGGACCAAATCAGGTCCACCATATATATATATTTGTCTTTTTCGTTTTTATCAGTACCAG